TGTTAGCCGACCCCCAATTCTTTTTGGATTAAGGCTTGGATGTTGTTGCTGTTGTTGGTAGAAACTTTTAGTGACTCTAATTTAGTGTCACTGTAAGGCATTTTCCTAGCAGTGAACGGGTGGTTATGATGGTAAATATGTTAGGGGAAAACTTTATAGAATGGGCATTAACAGTGGCGGAGCTAGAAATCTATGGTTAAGGGGGCCGATTTTTAAAAATTTTACATTATTGGGGCCAAAGTTTAAAATATCAACATATTTTCTATAGATTAAAAGTATTTATACATAATATATACTTAAGAATTTTTTTATTGCAGGGCCCGAGGCTCCCTCCAGCCCCTCCGTGTCTCAACCCCTGGGCATTAAAACATGTATTGTTTGTATGTATATATAGTTTGGCTTTACGTTTTCTTTCTAAGATTTAACTACCACTTCTCTCTATTGGGTTCCAATGACCCGACATGTTGTACTGTCATTGAAAGTTTGAACAATGTAAAAAGGCGAGTGACGAAATCGGTTCTTGATGGAAAAATGTAAAAGAATGAGCAAAGAAATGTGGGATATTGTGTTTAACATACAAAAAAACAAATATCAAGGGGTTTCAAAATGAAGGAGATGATCATGGGAAATGAAAAGGAGCTTAGAAGGCGAACAACCCCGTTAATATCTTTGAGAGAAGGGAGAGGACTCAAATGATGAATACTATATTCAAGATGAACATGCAGGAGGAAGCATGAGATCCAATTTCCTTATTTTTTTTTTACAATGATGATATCATATCCCTTTTAATGTTCCAATGCCCTATAGATTAAGGGTGAATAATTTGAATAAGCAAGTTGAGAAGACTACTGAAATAGTAGAGGATCACAAGGCCTCATGAAAAAAAACAAAGTATAATATAATGGTGGGTAAATGTGGATACGAGGAAAAGGACATTTGTGAAATTCTTGAAGAGTATGTAGTCTTAAAAATCATTTACTTGAAAGCTAATGATGCATTTGACATTTCTAAAGCCATTGGTAAAATGAAAAACATGTTGAGTGATAACATTGGAGAGATTGGGGAGGAATACACTATTTAGGAAACAACAAACAATTCATAAAGCCTTACAAGCTAGGTTGTGGGAAATCTCTTGATAAAGAAAGAGAAAGAATTTGTATTGGATGTTATGCGCACCCCGATAGTATTGGTGTCATGTCAGGAGATTTTGAGAAGAAAATTTCACCTCATCAATAGACAATTATAGTGGGAAAGAAGATCGCAACTTATATTTATTCTTGTATCCGTCTTGTGTGTTTCTTATATAAATTTACAAAGGACGGTCATTTGATTATGGGGGTGTTTGGAACTGATTCTGCTTCTGCTTCTTTTTTAACGCAGAAGCAGGATCAGAATCAGTTTTCAGAAGCTGGTCACCCCCAGCTTCTAAAAAACTGATTCTAGGAGTAAATTAGAACACCAGAATCACATCTGCACTTTCACCCAAACACTTCAGCTTCTGCTTCTGCTCCCTGAAGGAGCAGAAGCAGTTTCAAGAATCAGATTCAAACACCCCATATATCTTAAATGACTCATATTGAGATGTTTGCATGAGAATAAGGGATTATTAATACGAATAGTAGTATCTCATGAGTGAAAGTCTAATCAATTTTCATGGATTAGAGATGAACAATTTATGGAAGATAAAATATTCAATCAAGAGTTTTGTAAAAATATTTTGATTTTTTTAGGGGCTCTTATCTATTTAAGGTTTTACGATTAGTGAATTATGATGCAAAACCGTTAAGGGATTCATTCATGAAGAAATGGATCACGGGCATGAGAATATTAAAAAAAAATCAGAGGCATCAAGATGGGTAAATTTCTATACATCTCCTTAATCTATAATTTATTTAATCTATAATTTATTATTTTTAGCTATATATCGACATACTATTTTGGGAAATCATCGATGAAAGGTAGGACAATCAATTGAAAAGCACATTGCATGCAACGGGATATTATCTTAATCAAGTATTCCCTCCGCCCCATTTTGTAAGATACATTTTCCTTTTTGGTTTGTCCAAAAAATATAAGCACTTTCTTAAATTGGATTTCATTAACTTTTTACTTTTTCACTCTAGCCCGTTATTTATCATTTCACTCATTGGATCTATTTTTCTCCATGCTTTTTGGAGGTTAGAATTGTAGAACAATTCATTTATCTTTTATTTTCTTAAAACCTACTCAAAGTTCAAATGCATCTTACATTATGAGGTAGTAATGCATTATTATAGCCCTAATAGCATACCTGATATGAGAAAAGGAGTCTTGTGGCAGGTGAATGGAGATATGAGAGGAAATGAGGAATGAATAAAGTCCGATCGTGTTTTTGAACAGGTATGACAAAAAGTCCATTAAATCAAACGAGGATAACAAAAATTAGCAGACATGAACTAACCTAATCTTGACAAAACAACTTCAAGCTTTAGCTTTTCTGATCGAGGATGCTTGGCGATACAGAGAGATGGAGAAGAAAATCAGTTTTGACGACAAGTACGACCGAAGTTCATGGATAAAACTTTTCTCAAACTTACATTTATAAAAAACTTAGAAGCACATAAAAGCATACTCATAGTTGCTTTCCACTTTTGATTTAAAATCTCTTAAATTGAAGTTAGAATTTGTATTTACAATCACTCTTATAATATTTGTTAACAAAAAATCCAAAATATGATTTGTAGTAGTAATGGCAAACATAGCTTGAGAAAAATAATGCTATTTAATATCTAGAAAACTAACACTAATATTACTAAACTCATGTGTTTTCCTAAAATATGATTACTTATATTTTTTTCTTGAAACAATGACATAGATATTACTCCCCAACTTTCATAAGACAAAAATATGACTCTTTTTAAAATTGACTCAAAACTCACCCGCTTCTCGCCCACTTCTCTATTTTGTCCCTCTTTCGTCGATTTCATCAGAAGTACTGCTTCTCCCTCTCTGCGGTCTTCTGTGGATTTCATTAGCATCGATCTTCCTTCAGCAAAGGTCTGGAGGCTTCAACATCGATCTCCTTCAGCACGGCCATGGTGCCATCTTCTTCAACGCTCCAAGCTGCTGGTCCTCTCTGCTGCATCTCGTCAAAAGTCTGCAGGCTTCTCTCTTCGCACGGCCATTGCGCCATCTTCTTCGACGCTCCAAGACGCCGGTCCTCCTCTCTTCTGCATATTGTCAGAAGTTCATTGATTCTTCGATTTGAAATTCAAATCGATTTTCAGATTTGAGTTCAACAGGGGCGAGGCTTGAGGGCGAAGCACTGTTGTCTACAGGGGTGAGGCTTGAGGGCTTGAGCGCTGTGGTGCGGCGTTGCTGGGCAAGGCTGTAGGGGTTCTGTCGGGCTCTGGAGATGAGACTTGGGCCAGTGAGATTGGGTGGCGGAGCTGGTGGTCGGGCTGGGGGCTGGTGAGGGGGGATGGTGGGTTGAGGTGTGGCTGGAGTGGGGGGGAGGGGGGCTGGTGTGTTGAGGTGGGGCTGGGGAGGGGGCTGCTGGGTGGGGAGGGGGTTGGGAGGGGGCTGGTGGGTTGTGGTGGGGCTGGGGAGGGGGCTGGTGGGTGGGGAGGGGGTTGAGAGGGGGCTGGTGGGTTGTGGTGGGGCTGGGGAGAGGGCGGGTGGGTGGGGAGGGGGCTGGGGAGGGGGCTGGTGGGTGAGGAGGGGGTTGGGAGGGGGCTGGTGGGTGGGGAGGGGGTTGGGAGGGGGCTGGTGGGTTGTGGTGGGGCTGGGGAGGGGGCTTGTGGGTTGGGGAGCTGCCGGTGTGGTCACGGTTAGGGCGGTGGCTGTCACGGTTGTGGTTGTCGGATGTATGTGTGTGGGGCTAAATGCGAGTGTGGAGTGGGGGTGGCGGTTAGTCGGGCGCGGTGTTGCGCGGACAGCCGCCGTTGTGGCAGCCGGTGAGGCTGGTCGCGTCTCTAAACGAAAAACGATCACAATGACACGGGCGGTGGCTACAGTGACACATGCGGCGACTACAGTGACACAGGCGGTGACTATAGTGACACGGGCGGTGGCTACATTGACACGAGCTGTGGCTACAGTGACACAGACAGTGACTACAGTGACACCGGTGACGACAACAGTGACATTTGATAGTGCCATTAAAATTAAATAGTGACATTAAAAATCATGAATATGACCTTCTTAGTCACATTTTTGTCCAAATATGAAAGTGGTCACATTTTTGAAAATCAGCCTTGATTTAGTAAGGGGAATGTTTTCAAGGTTAGTCATTGGAAAGAAAGTGGAAGGAAAGGGTTGGAAACCCTTCTTCTCGTCTGGGAGTAACAAGTTTGAAAAGATAGGAGTTTTGGATGATTATAATTAAAATCACTTCACATATACGAATAATTCAAATAGTTGAATTTATATTTATTTAAAATTGAGCTAAAGTTGTCATTTAATTAGTTGTCTTTCAAAATCCCGAAATTTTGGGGGAACTTGAAAATTGAGCATTTGAAGGATTTTGAAGAGTTACAAAAGCCCCCCCCCCCCCAAATCATCCCCTCCCTCCAAAATCCAACTCCCAAACATACCATTAGAGAAAATGTGCATATATACCCCTAATGTTCCTATAATGAAACAAATTTATTTTTATTGACTTGATATAAAAAAATAAATTTACAAAAAAAGCAAAAACAAATTGACTAAATATGTACCTTTACTTGTGCACCTTTAGAAGTTTAGAGATATACGTGCACTTCGACATATATCAGGAGTATATTTGTACCTTTCAATTTTCCTTATTATATTATTTCTCTTTAATATATGTTATATCTCGAAAATATATGAGTTTTAGTAATATCAGATTTTTTTTATGGGCCTTCGACTGTTTGTTGGTCTATTGATCTAAAATGAAACGGGTCTTTCTAAATACAGCATATAAGGTTGCCCAATTTAAATATCGGCATCCGGAATTGGACCGAATCACTATAGCGGCCCAAAGTTTAGGGCTCGAGTCTCTTTCACTCACCTATAAATTTATTGTTCAAAACCCTAGCCCCATAAATCGTTGCGCGTATACTCTTTCGCTCTCAGAGTGCAGGCGTAGATATCCGCAGCCAAGGTAAACGGAAGCATGGCGACTTCACCGGTGGAGCACGTTCAATGTTTCGGGCGTAAGAAGACGGCGGTGGCCGTGACCCACTGCAAGCGCGGCCGTGGACTGATCAAGATCAACGGAACACCGATCGAGCTGATCCAGCCTGAGATCCTCCGTTACAAGGCCTGTGAGCCTATCCTCCTATTGGGCCGCCACCGCTTCGCCGGCGTGGACATGCGCATCCGTGTCAATGGAGGAGGTCACACAGCTCAAATCTACGCCATTCGTCAATCCATCGCCAAGGCCCTCGTAGCCTTTTACCAGAAGTATGTCGACGAGCAATCGAAGAAAGAGATCAAGGACATCCTCGTTCGCTATGACAGGACATTGCTTGTTGCGGATCCAAGGCGCTGCGAGCCCAAGAAGTTTGGTGGACGTGGTGCTCGTTCCAGGTTCCAGAAATCCTACCGTTAATTGGCAGTTTGGAAGTCTAATACAAAGTGGTTGTGCTATCTCGTTTAGTAAGCCGTCCGTTCAAGTTTTGGTTTATCTGCTCTAATGAACTTTTGATTATTATTTCAGCTTTTGTGGAACTCATTCTGAAGTTTTAAACTATGGTTATTGTGTTTCTCATTTACTTTCCGTTTACATGTGTTTGATACCTAAATATTTCCGTCTGTGATGAAGTCTGCTGTTGAAATGCTGCACTTAATCAGCGATGAAGCATATGTGTTTTCAATATCTGCTATTTACATTAGCTGTTTCTATTAGTAATCCAATTTTGTAACATTTTCAGCATATTCTTTCAAAATAACTAGGTTTTGTTTGGGTGTTTATTTGGCTGATAAGCTGAGATTGATTTAGATTGGGATCCTCTGCCGTGCGGGCAGAGTGTCTTTGGGCAGGGAGGCCATCCGATAAGTTGAAATATTGATCAGACGACTCCCGAAAGCCGGGCATGGTACCTTGCTTGAAAGTAAGGCAGAGAAACGGGATCGGATTGATTTATGAATGTTTTTTCCTTCTTTTCAGTCTGATAACCACACCAAACAGGCTTTCAGTAAATCAATTCGTTTTTTTATATGTATGAGCATCTGATACCAGACTATGTTATAGGATACATTAAAATGATTATGCATTGTTGTGCTTATCTTGTGTAAGAACCTTCTACTGGACAGGGTTTTATTTGAATGGGCACTTAAAGACTTACTTGTGTTGGCCGTTTGTAGTTATTGATTCCTCTAAGCTTAATTTTTCTTTCACAATGTGTTACCGGTTTCTTTTTATTACAAAAAATTGAGTTTTTTATAAAATCTAGGTTTGTCTGATCGAACATCCAAAAATATTACTCCACTAGTAAGAATTTGAATGTTAAATTATTTTCAGATGTTCTTTTTAACATTTTCTCTTGGATAAACGTCAATTTAGGATTTAATAACCTTATTTTAAAGAACCACCTGTGATTAGGAAGTATTTGAAGGTTGAGTTATTTTCACATGTTCTTGTAACATATTCACTTAGGGGGTGTCCTCATCTTAGATTTTAAAAGATTTTTAAGGATTTTGGATATCATCGGATTTTAATGGAATATAAAGAATCCATAGATTTTAATAGAATTCCATGGATTTTAAGAGAATAGAATTTCATGGTTTTTAATGCAATGTTGTAGAATTTTATTGTGATATACATAATTAATAGTAAAATGCAAGATTAATCGGTTCCTATTGTGATATACTCATAAAGTGCAGAAAACAACTAATAAAATCAATAGCAATAATATAAGAAAGTATAATCACGAGATAACTCCTCGGAAGTTTGATCTCCACTTCTGCAATTGCTCACCAGCTACAACGAAATTCCAGCCCTACAAAAAACTTTGATAAAAAAACTAATAAAATATCCGAATGCTAGAGGTGTATTTCGAAGCTAAAAAATGTTGCAATATCTGACGTTTTCAAGTTCTGTAGCCCTCAAGTAGTTTGGTCTGAGTAGGGGCCCGTTCGGGCCTGGTTCAGGCTGGGCCCGGTCGGTTCGTGGTTCTGTTTTGTTGGGCCCGCGCCCGAACCGGTAGCCACTGGTTCCGGGTTCGGTTCCCTATTTAACTGGGTTTTTTTTGGCTTCTATTTAATCCCCAACCCACCCCCTCACCCCCAAACTACCCCAAACCACCTCAAATGGTCCAAAATACCCAACCCAACCGAAAACTTAAAAAAAATTCCAAAAAAAAATTTAAAGTCGGCCCGGACCGGGCTCGAACCGGTCGGGCCGGTTCACCAAATGGAGGGCCCGAGCCCGGAACCGAACCCCACTGGGCCGGGTCGACCCGAACCGCCCCTGGGCCGGGCCGCCGGTTCAGTCCGGTTCAAACAGTGACTGGGCCGGGTCGGTTCCGGGCCGCCCGGCCCGAGTCCAGCACTAGGTCTGAGACAGTAAAAGAAGAAAACCCATGTTTCGCAGGCCCTAGCACAGCTTCGTCAGCCCTAAGAAAGAGGAAGGTTTGAAGAGGTAGAAGATAATTTGTTGGGGAGTGGGAAAGAAGAGTTTGGGAGAGGCTTATTAACCGGTAGCAACAATCCTTTCAAATCCGAGGGGTGAGGGGGAGAGAATACGTGGAATGGATTGACCTTATTTTTCCATTTCAATTCCATGAAAATCAGCTGAAATCCATATGATAGAAATCCATGGAATAATTGGGGACACCCAAATTTTAAAGGATTTTATAAAATCCACGTTGAAGACACCCGAATTCTAGTGGAATTTAGAAATCCTTTAAAATCCTTTCAAATCTAGATTGGGGACAGTGGAACACCCCCCTTAGATTAACAACAAGCTTATACTGCATCTACCTACCCTAATATATGTACTAGTTCCATTTAGCTACACCAATTTCTACTGAACCTAGATATGCTTAAATTCATAACACCTTTAAAGGTAATAATGGAGTTGTGTTTTGGAGAGCCTGAGAGGTAGAAATGCCTAGTGTAAATGATATTCAACCTTTTTCCCTAAACAAGATCCTTGCACTGTAAAGTGCCGTTTAACCTCCCAACTCATTAAACTGTTCTCTGCCGCATCCATCCACCCATTTTCTCTATCATGTCATTGCATCAACTCACCACCCTCAGGGCTATATACTGTGGGTTCAATTATGTTTTTGTTCAAATTAAGTACTTTTTGGGAGTCCTAGATTTTCTATTCTTGGCTGTGTGATTTCCTAGTGGTGGCAGCTATCTTTCCTTTTATTTTTGCTTAGCTTCCATTGTTTTTATGGCGGCAAATGAAAAGTCAGAATGAATATTTTCAGATCTTACACAAAGAGGGGTACCCTTTATTATGGTTGTCCTTACACAAGGAAGGTGTGGCAGTATTTTATGAATGTGTTTAATATTCCTGTTCCAACACACAACTCTATCAGACAGGTTCTTGTTCTTTGGTGGTTAGAAGCTGGTTCAAAAACCTTGGTAGATATCTTTAAACATACACTCCCAGGTATAATTAGTTGGCATATTTAGAAAGTGTATTCATCTTATATTTGGGGTTCAAGCAGCATTCCTACTCCTGAACATCTTATTATCCAAATTGAGATGTATTCTCAAAAATGGGCTTATAGATTGCAAAAGATTAAACCTAGAATAATTGACAACTTCCTCTTCCTAGAACACTTCATTCCAGTCAATTTTAAGTTGAGGCATTCAGGATCGAAATTGATTAGATGGAGCAGACCTAAAAGCAACTACAAACTTAATGAGGATGCTTCGTATGTACCTGGTTTAGCCATGGGAGGAGCCATCTTCAGAAATCGAGAAGGTAAGACGGAGTGGGCTTCGTGTTTCAAACTTTAGGCGCAATCGAGCGAGGAAGCTGAGCTTCAAGCTTTGATCTATGCTACTGATATGGCTCTTCAGATGGGGTGGTCCGGTTTCCAGGTTGAAGGTGATGCGGCTAATATCATCTCCATGCTTCAAGCGACCGATTCAGGAAAGTACGCCTATCTTCAGGCATTTCGAAGGAAAGCGATAGACACGAGATTGTGTTTTGGGCATATTTTCAGAGAAGGTAATGGGCCAGCCCACTATCTCGCTGCCCATGATATTTGTTCGGTCCGGGCTTTTTTTTTTACCAAGTGAACTCATTGCCTGCTAGAGTTAAGTCCAATTATTATGCAGATCTTTTTGGTTTTCCTTATTTTCGCATTTGATTTTAATTTCATGTAATTTATTTGGGTAAGGTCTGGTCCCCCCTAGTCTTTTATTACTTTTGCAACATTTGTCTGTATCACAACCTGATTTAATAAAACTTGGTAAATGATCCTCCGACATTTACCCTACTGATTTTGGTGGTTTGTCTTCTGGAGTAAAGGGGGGGGGGGTGGGGTACCCTTTATTATTACATAAATGTGTAGACATTGAGAGAGGTCATACAAATTAGGCATGGACTGAACCGGGCCCGGTTCTGGGTCAGGCCTAGGCCCTTCCGGGCCAAAAAAAATTTCAGAGAGGCATGGGACCGACCCGGAAGTTGATCGGTGCCAGTCCGGTTCTATTTTTTTTGTTTTCATGATTATTTTATCCCCTACCCCCATCCCCCCACTCCACAAACCCATCTGAAACACTCATTCCAGCCCATTTAAACCCAGCCCAAAGCCCCAAATAAAAAAAAAACAAAAAAAAAATTGAAAAGGCCCAAACCAAGCTTGGAACCAGCCGGGCCGGTTCTCAATTCCCTCAGCCCGTAACCGCCCCCGGTTTCCCCTTCAAACCGGGCCTAGATCCGGTACCGGTACCCAGTTCCCGGGCCGGGTGGCCTGAACCGGGTGCAAGCCTGATTCAAATTAAACAACTTTCTTATCTGCTATTGAGAAAGTAATTATAAAGTTTACGGGATAAATATTTTTAGTTCAAAAAGACCCATCTCCTTCACTGGCCTCAAGAGATGTCACCGGGTGAATGGGTTGAGTCAGGGTCAATAATGCATATAATGGTATTCGCTAGGGGTGGGCAAAAGACCTGGTCCCGTTGATCCGTTCAGGACTGTTCCGGTTCCGTTCTGAAATTGTCCCGTTATATTTGGGACACATCATTTTTGTCCCGTACCGGTCCTAAACCGTTTCAAAACAAAACAGGATCGGGACAAGTAAAATATATCTCGTTCCGTCCCGTTGTCCCGAATCCAAAATTGTACTTTGTAGTATGTTAGTGAGTCTACCAACAAGTCATAATGTAATCCAAATAATAATAATAATTCTTTTTTTACAACTGAAATACAAAATGATAATTAAAATACTAGTTGTTTAACAATAAAACAGCTTAAAAACTCTAAACTACCTAGTGTCAATGTTCTAAAAGGAGCTAGGCACTAGTCAGGCGCCAGCCCAGCGCGTAGGCGGCTAGGCGGGTGCCTAGTCGGGGACTAGTCGGAAACAAAGAAAGTGCATTTGTATGTGTACTAAAGTATTGTATGTTTACTTTTTAATTTTTAATCTATATTTTTGCATAAATATGATAAATAATATTGTATTTGTATGTGTATAAAATACATATATACACATACACAAAGTATGTGTACATTAACAAATATGAATGATAGAATTATCGCATTTAATCATACATAGTATGTGATATAACTTCATTATGTTATAAATATAAATAATAATAAAATTTAGGTATATATACAAACATATATTGTTTTTATCTTAATTTAGAACTTCATTTATTTATATACGTTTCTAAAGTTAAAGTACATATATAGATTAAAAATTAAAAAGTAAACTAATTTTCGACGAAACTAGACGGCCTAGGCGGCTGATTATGCGCTCTGGGCGGGCAATTAGGCGACATAGCGGGCGACTAATTCACCTAGACGGCAAACAAATTAGTCGGAGAACCTAGACGAAAATCAGGGCGTCTGGCCACCGCCTAGCGCCTAGGTGGGGACTAGTCGGACGTCTAGAAACGATTTTTAGAACAGAGCCTAGTATCACATACTATGAACTATCATCTATCTACAAAAAAGAAATTATTTTTTACTCCAAAAGGCTTCACTTCGAATAGTATTCTTTTATCATTTTTTTTACAGATTTCTTGATAGGTTTTTGTGTTGGAGTTTTCTTTTGTTGCAACTTTGATTTCATGCAGTTAATATGGTAGGTTGTATTTTTTCTCATAATTTTCTAGATTAGGTATAGTGTTTTTTGTCATCGAGTTTTTCTTGCGCATGTTTTTTTTTAAATATTTTGAAATAGCTTTGCTTTGTTTTTGGGATTGCAATTTTTTCACCACTTTTTTTGGGATGTCCCGAACCATCCCGTTTTGTCCCGGTACCGATTTAAATAGGACTACAAAATGACAATGTCTTGTCACGTCCTGTTCCGAACCGTTATTATAAAATGAGTTCGATACCAGGACAACCCAATTCCGTTCCGTCCCGGACCATGCCCACTCCTATTATTCGCCCTATT